ACACTATACTGTCAATAGATACATTATATACATTAAATATCCACTATTCGCCACTTACTCTAAACGTAATAAAATCAGAATAATATTGCGTTTTGGTGTTTACATAGTTATTTTTGGTTTCTGATGTTTTAATCATGTTACTTGTCTGGCGTTAATGAAGCGTTAATGTCAAGCCCTGGAGTCTATAACGTTAAGTGCCGGGGCTCAGCCCCAGACGGCCCGGCCCAATTTAAACCCTGGTCTTATGTAGCATGATGCTACAGTGTGCATGAATGGTCACATAACACACGCTTTCGGTCTTGTAGTATGAACGGACATCTGCATATGATTGAAACTCTACACAGCTCCCGCGCTACTCTCCATTGGAAATTAATGACTTTCGTTCTGTCATTTGTCGGAGTTAGTGGAAAGCCGGCTTGAAACGCAGTGGAAACGCCAGTAAGGCGAGGATCGTTTTCATTTTAAAACAAAAGCGCACCAGTGTAAATGTAGCCTTACAGCTACGGGGGCTGGGACGCATTCACACTAAATCCTCACGTGTGAGCCACATTTCTGAGTGTCACAGTCGTGGACCGACTGTGCAGACCTATCGGTGTATTAGGCTATAGTAAGATACCACGAGCAGACTGCTCCGTACGTTTTCGCATTGCTCTCGCGGATGTCAAACACTGATCGATCTGCGCCTCACTGACGTTGATGAGATTAACTCCTTAGGTATCGAAATTTGGTACCGAACGACGAGACGTTTTTCGATACTCGATGGTATCGAGGCAATTCGATTGGTGCCTAAAAAGTATCGAACTCGATACCCAGCCCTAATCATTACTGTGTCTGTCAAGCGACTTTGTTCCCCTTTCGGGCTTGAACTGATGGTAAAACTAATGACTTTATTTACTGTCTTTACATTTATTTTGAAAGCTGAAGCTCGCGATTATGGTAATGGGCGTTACATTTCCGATGAGTGCTTGCGGTGTTCGGCCAATCACAATGCACTGGGTCAGCTGGCCAATCAGAGCAGACTGCGCTTGTCGGAAGGAGGGACTTTGTAGAAAACGAAGCGTTTGAGAGAGGCGGGGCATATAGGACCTACAATAATGTACAGTATTTGAAAAATAATGTGTTTTTTGAACATTAAAGCATGTCAACATATTCTGTTACACCAAATACACAAAATAATGATCTTTAAAAAAAGCATCATATGACCCCTTTAATGAAATTGCTAAAATATCTACAAGCTGACAGTGAACTCAGAATCACATAGACCTACAAAAAAATTTACTATCCCACTTGCTAAATAAGTAATAACTTTGAGCAATTTATTAAACTTTTCATTCAGAATAATCTGTTGTTGTAATGACCACAAGAGTCCTTCTAAAAAGGATATCTGATATGTCTCCATCCACATTTCTATCTCTTAACTTTTCTACATTCTGGAACCTATTAGTGACAAGTTACTATGGCAATTCTTGAGTCGTTGGAAGTGTCTCTCGTTGCCTGGTGATCTTTAGCAGTCTGTTGCCTTTAATCTTGATCCACTGTAGACCCGTAAACCTCAAATCACCCAGCAGACAACCATCACACCACAGCAGAGACATTGTGTCATACAGATAGATCTTAAAGCTGGAGCCAGGCCTGGTCTGTTTACAAGGTAACCGTCTCCGTCTAAGCTAAAATTATAGTACTGTTAAGAACATTGTTTAGCATGTAACATCAAGATCTGTATTCAGTGAACACAGAAATTAGGCTCTCATGTAAACAGATTAATGATATATGTAGCACAGAAGTTATTTAATATTTTGGCTTAAACTTCTCACGTCAATTTCTTTTTTAATCTGTTTACATGCATCTCAAACAGATGAATTAATCTTGCGTTGATAAAACGTTTGTAAAGTTACACGTGTGTTCTCTCAATATAAATAAGTCCTCCTGGTAAACTGACAAGGAGCAATTAACAATCCTATAGGATTGTGAGGAATCTCAAATGGACTTGCAAAACTGGTTTTGGATGTTACAAATGTGATTGCTACAGTTATTCAAATATATACAAAATATTGAAGAGGTTGTGTTTTAATTTATATATATATATATATATATAATTATATTCATTTTAATAAATCATAAATGGGGCAATATTGTCCGATTTACTGAAGCGCTGTGTTCTTGAGAGCTTCTCGGTTTTGAAAAAAATGTTTCACCAAAACTAGATGTGTGATAAAATAATATTATATGTATCCTGTTAAGTATTATAATATTATTATAATATATTATCATGAATGACATTATAACATTACATCAAATACTACATAAAACATCATTTATCCTACATTAAAATAATCAGAAAGTGACAAGTATTATAAAGTATATTATATATTCACTACAAACAACTCATGTAATGCATTATATAATGCTTGTGCATGTATGACTTATTCATAAAAAATATTATGAAGTGCTAGTTTAAAACTTTAGAATCTTACACTTCATAATATTTTTTATGAATAAGTCATACATGCATATTTTTTATGAATAAGTCATATAGGGCTCAGGACACCAGCAACTGTTTCACAGGAGCCAAAACTAACATCTTACCTTATGAAGCTGGTTTTCCCAGTGGAATACTGTCCCACCAGGAGAACCATGGGCTTATTGTCAAAATCTGCATCCTCCAAAGCGGGTGAGTGAAACTCGTGGAATTTGTAGTGTTCCTCCAGTGGAAGCAGTTTGGTTTTGTAAAGCTTCTTGAGTCCTTCACTGACAGTCTGGAAGACCTCTGGATCCTTCTTTCTCCTGTCATCGGTACCCAACCAGCTGAACATGATGCAACTCGAGTATAGCCAACCTTAGACGATATATCTGTTGTTTTTGGATAATTATTTCACAATATGCACAAATGCGCCTTAGTCCTACTGTAGTGTATTCAAATGAATGGATCTGTAATGACGTCGATGTATTTTAAGAGTCCATTGAAACTGTTCCCTTGTCTCCACTCACGACACAAAATGCGCCAAAGATTAGACCATAATTACAAAATATGATGCATTATATAATATTCTGTTTAAACGTTACGGTCGAAAACATGGCCAAACACGCAGCCTTTCATTCAGGCTTTGTTGGAATAAAAGCGCGCGTCGCTAGAGGCTACAATGTATCAGTCAGCAAATGCAAGAGATACAATAGCTATTATGAAAGAGAAGAGAAAACGAGCGCCAGATCCTCCAATAGAGCAGATTCACTCACGGTGACAGGCGTCCACGGGCTTCCCACTGCAGCAGATTTAAATGCCAGTGCGCTGGAGAAACCCGACACTGGAGGAAATGCCCCACTGGTAAAGCCCCACCCAGAACACAAGAGCTCCAGTCTGGGATGCAGCGCCTTTGTAGCGGATGGTGATGGTTGGTACTCCTCCAGAGATTTCTATTTACACCAGCGTAGTGATTGGTAAATTAAAACATACTTTAAGAATGCTATTTTAAATAATATAATATAATATAATATAGGTAGGTAGCTTTATTGTCATTCAGCTGTACATGTGGGATGAACATATGAACGAGATTTCGTTTCACTGGCTCATAAAGAAAAATACACTAAAACTAAAACATGTACTACTGTACAAAATCAGTATTAAAAATATAATAATATAAAATCTAATGAAAAATGCTCCAACATGCATTAAGAATATAAAACTAAAAATAATTAACAGCAGCATGTAAATAATTAATAAATTTTAAAACTTTAGAATCTTACACTTCATAATATTTTTTATGAATAAGTCATACATGCATATTTTTTATGAATAAGTCATATAGGGCTCAGGACACCAGCAACTGTTTCACAGGAGCCAAAACTAACATCTTACCTTATGAAGCTGGTTTTCCCAGTGGAATACTGTCCCACCAGGAGAACCATGGGCTTATTGTCAAAATCTGCATCCTCCAAAGCGGGTGAGTGAAACTCGTGGAATTTGTAGTGTTCCTCCAGTGGAAGCAGTTTGGTTTTGTAAAGCTTCTTGAGTCCTTCACTGACAGTCTGGAAGACCTCTGGATCCTTCTTTCTCCTGTCATCGGTACCCAACCAGCTGAACATGATGCAACTCGAGTATAGGCAACCTTAGACGATATATCTGTTGTTTTTGGATAATTATTTCACAATATGCACAAATGCGCCTTAGTCCTACTGTAGTGTATTCAAATGAATGGATCTGTAATGACGTCGATGTATTTTAAGAGTCCATTGAAACTGTTCCCTTGTCTCCACTCACGACACAAAATGCGCCAAAGATTAGACCATAATTACAAAATATGATGCATTATATAATATTCTGTTTAAACGTTACGGTCGAAAACATGGCCAAACACGCAGCCTTTCATTCAGGCTTTGTTGGAATAAAAGCGCGCGTCGCTAGAGGCTACAATGTATCAGTCAGCAAATGCAAGAGATACAATAGCTATTATGAAAGAGAAGAGAAAACGAGCGCCAGATCCTCCAATAGAGCAGATTCACTCACGGTGACAGGCGTCCACGGGCTTCCCACTGCAGCAGATTTAAATGCCAGTGCGCTGGAGAAACCCGACACTGGAGGAAATGCCCCACTGGTAAAGCCCCACCCAGAACACAAGAGCTCCAGTCTGGGATGCAGCGCCTTTGTAGCGGATGGTGATGGTTGGTACTCCTCCAGAGATTTCTATTTACACCAGCGTAGTGATTGGTAAATTAAAACATACTTTAAGAATGCTATTTTAAATAATATAATATAATATAATATAGGTAGGTAGCTTTATTGTCATTCAGCTGTACATGTGGGATGAACATATGAACGAGATTTCGTTTCACTGGCTCATAAAGAAAAATACACTAAAACTAAAACATGTACTACTGTACAAAATCAGTATTAAAAATATAATAATATAAAATCTAATGAAAAATGCTCCAACATGCATTAAGAATATAAAACTAAAAATAATTAACAGCAGCATGTAAATAATTAATAAATACACATGATGATTAGCAGCATCTGTAACAAATTATTGCACTTAAGTGGCCACGTATAAGTACAATTATTTAAATAAATAAATCAAAATCATAAATAGATACAATTATGGCAGTATCCCCATCTCGTTCCATTGAACGAGATCCATTGACAGTAAGATTGAGCAATAAAAAGTGATTTTGAGTTCAAACGTCTGATAGCTTGTGGATAAAAGCTATTGCAGAACCTTACTGTTCTGCCCAGAATGCTGCGAAACCTTTTCCCAGAGGGCAGCAGCATTAACAGTCCATAGTGAGGATGGGTGGAGTCTTTTAAAAAATTGTGGGCATGGGCCAGACAGCGTTTGTGTTCAAGGTCCTGGATGGAAGGCAGCGAAGAGCCGATGATCTTTTCCGCTGTCCTCACCAGTCTCCGCTTTACAGTCCCCAGACCAGACCGAGATGCAGCTGGTCAATATGCTCTCTATAATACCTTTGCAGACAGTGCAGAGGATGGGAGAGGAAAGGTGTGCTTTTCTCATCCGACGCAGAAAATAAAGACGCTGACGTGCTCTCTTCACTAGAGAGGCAGTGTTAAGAGACCATGTCCAGCTGTCTGTGATCTGCACCCTCAGGAACTTGATGCTATTGACAACTTCCACCACGGTGTCATTGATAAGTAGTTGTGTGTGCCTGTGCTGCTTTTTTTCTGAAGTCAACAATGATCTCCTTTGTTTTATCTACATTCAGGAGTAAGTTGTTTGTACTGCACCAGTCCACAAGCAATCTCACCTCCTCCCTATAGGCCTGTTTGTTGTCATCCTGAATGAGGCCCACCACTGTCATGTCGTCTGCATACTTCACAACATTATTTGTACTGAACCTGGCACGGCAGTCATGTGTCATCATAGTGAACAATAATGGACTCAGGACGCAGCCCTGAGGGGAACTAGTGCTCAGAGAAATGACACTGGAGGTGTAATTTCCAACCCTCAAAAACTGAGGTCTGTTTGTAAGAAAGTCCAGTATCCAGTTACACAAGGGGGTACCAAGGCCCAGAGGTCCGATTTTGCTTACTAAATGCTGGGGGATAATCGTGTTAAATGCAGAACTAAAATCCACAAACAGCATTCACACATGAGTGTGAGCAATGCAGTGCAGTGCAATGCAGTGCTGAAATTTGCGTTTACGAATCCTCTCATTATAACACACGAATTGTAGACATTATGAACGATTCATTATCCATATATTTATTGTGTTATAACAGAGATTTGTGAGATTGCGATGAATTGAGATGTCTTTTAGAGATTATAAATGCAGCGCTCTTTGCTGCCATGCCAAACCATGCACGCAGCAGCCACTTGCTTTAGTAAAAAATAACAGTTCTGTGAATGTGTGTATGCTGGGAGAAAAATTTCATGGAAAAAAGTAACGTAACTAGTAATGTAACTAATTACTAATTACTTTTGAAATAAAGTAATCAGAATAGTAACGTGATTACTTTTAAAAGGAGTAATCAGTAATCAGTCATTTAATTGCATTTTCAGAGTAACTTGCCCAACACTGCCTACTGGACATGTGATTTAGTAAATTTATATATAGGTAATATTCAAAAATATTAGAATGAGATAAGGTTGAGATTTGGAAAATAATATAATATAATATAATCATATAAAAGCAATAATATAGGATATAATTGTATAATGTATAAAAATAAACCCAAACCAAGTGCAGTTGGAAATATTCACCTAGTGGCAAGCCTTTATAGAACAATAAACTTGATAATGAAGCATGTAAAAAAGAAGAGAAAAAGGTTATTATACACATATAATATATATGTTAAATTATATCTCGTCTACATATAGATATGTATATAATGGTGTGTTCAGTTTAATGTTGATTGTAATAACTTATTTCATAAAGAAAGACTGAGATGGGCCAAGACTGTGCAGTCAAGCATGATAGAACAAGTTAAATATGCTGAAAGATAAGTCTGCAGGCAATATTCAGCATAGTGAGGGTACCATGTAGCCTACTCTACTTCAAAGCAGTGGAAGAGGATTCAGTAAATATTTTTATATTTAAAGAGGTCATATGATGCGATTTCAAGTTTTCCTTTCTCTTTGGAGTGTTACAAGCTCTTGGTGCATAAAGAAGATCTGTAAAGTTGCAAAGACTAAAGTCTCAAATCCAAAGAGATATTCTTTATAAAAGTTAAGAGTCAACCACGCCTACTTAAAAAGGCTCGTTTTAACACGCCCCCCACATATCTACGTCATGATGTGGGACGATTTGCATAACACCGCCCAAATGTTCACGCAAAGAAAGAAGGTATAACTTTTATTCTCGCTGTAGTATTGTGCCGCCATGTCATGAAGGCACTGTGTGTTTCGTTGTGAAAGCGAAACTACTTTGTTTGGTCTTCCAAAAGAGGACGATATCTGCTTCGTCATGCCTGGAGCTGATCCGTGCTGGTCGCTAATGAAATACATCAACTTCACGCTGTGGATCGCCGGATCGGCTTTCACTGTGGACGAAGTGGAGTCCAGCCCGGAGTCGTCACATGTGGTTGCTGCAAGCCCGCCCAAAGCCGCTTACTCAAGCCCGCCGTGTGTGATGCTATGTTTCGTTGTGAAAGCGAAACTACTTTGTTTGGCCTTCCAAAAGAGGACATGACTAGACTGGTCGCTAATGAAATACATCAACTTCACGCTGTGGATCGCCGGATCGGCTTTCATTGTGGACGAAGTGGAGTCCAGCCCAGAGTCGTCACATGTGGTTGCTGCAAGCCCTCCCAAAGCCGCTCACTCAAGCCCGCCGTGTGTGATGCTATGTTTCGTTGTGAAAGTGAAACTACTTTGTTTGGCCTTCCAAAAGAGGACACGACTAGAAATCAGTGGTTAAGTTGTATTTACAACACTGTTCCAGAACAGTTCAACCCAAATATTCAGATGTGTGCAGCACATTTTATGGAGGACTGTTTCCTGATCCTGGGAGAGTAGACTACAATGCTGGCTGTTCTGACTCACAGACTGTAAGTACGTTTTTTATATTTAAAGAATTTGCCACTGAGGATTCAAACGTGAGTTTTGAGCAGTGTAGAGTAGCGCTTGTTGTTTGTCATTTCTCCGATCACAAATGCAAACATGGTTTTATGTTTACACGGCGCGATGCAACGCAACCAGTAAAAAGACAACATAAGTCATTATAATCCGTAATTATGTTCCCACTGGATGCAACAAATGCCTCGTTTATAATGGGTTTTAATGTTTTTGTCGCTTCGCTCCGGCCGACATGGCATCACAATATGGCAAGGGGCGTAA